CACGGTATAACCTGGGGGTTTGGAACTGGCTCTTTAGCAAATTAAGGCTTTGCATACCTGGGGGAGGTGAAAGGAGGGTGCCCCTGGGAGACAACTCTGAGGAACTGCCTACAGTTGAATTAACAAGTTGTATCTACAGAAGTAACTGTAGATCTTCAACCCTTTTCCTGCACAGAGGGGCTGTTGCACACATAACTATTTGCATGCATAAATATGTGTTGTCTTGGACAGTTTAAATTCCAAACTCTGAAAACATAAGCCTGTTTGGGTCTCTAAGCCATCAGTGGATTAAATCCACCTCGCATAGCTGTGCTTCAGCCAAGCAACAGCAAACGCAGCTTCTACCCATCTTCCTTTTAGCTGGTGGCTGCTAGACATCAATATTGTACTTCACACATACGCTCCCTCTGTGGGAATCCACACAGCCTTTTCTTTTTTCTGGGCTATAAAAAGTTGAATTAGGCTGCCAGTGACTGCTAAGTGCTACACTCTGCTCCCCATTGCTGGATATATTAAGGATACGGGGCTCTGGGCTCCTCATTCTTGGCTCCTTGAGGCAGCAGAGCTGGCTGTGTGTCACCACCACAACCACGCTGTGCAGGAAACACTTTCAGACCTGTGAGGTTATCACTAGGCTGACGGTTCACTCTTTTGGACTCTGAAGATACAATTCTCTTCCCTCACCGGTTTTAGGAACAAATTAGAAAATGGTAGCAGTTGATCTGGTTTTTTAAAAACCTCACTTGAGTTAAGGGCAGGGGGTTTCTTTGTATGTTTTGAAACTTTCAGAGAAGTTGGGCTTCCTTCATCATTGAAACACATATACTAAATATAAGACTATAAAATACATCTTATCCTTGACTTGACCTTAAGGGATTTTAAAAGACTTTCTCTAATAGAAGATGATCTGGTAACTGGACAGACTTTACTGCATCTATGCGTGGTTAACAGTGGGTCTTCTGATTAACTGGAGAAACTTGTTCTGGGATAACACCAAGTATAGCCTGGGTATTACTGAATGAGGGGAGATGATGTTTCAGATGCCTCTCTTCTCCCGTGGTGGTGAGAATTGTCTCACCACATCCATCCTAATGTGAATTCTGGACTCAGTGTAACTAATTTTGGTGCCGCTATCCACTAGGTTGTAAGTGGTGCAAAATTCAGGCCCAGCTGATGCCTTCGCTCCCAGGGAGGGAGTCATCGGGCCCTTTTCTTTCTCAGAGCAATTTTGTGCTATCAAGTATATTGAATCTTACCTAACCAACAGGAGACTGCTGGATGCAATAGCGTTAAGTAGTTTAAGGCTTGCTTTCACTGAGAGCTCTTAATACATTAAAACTGTAGGAAGCCAGTCCATTTTAGACAAACAGCTTTTAGTCCGTTGGTATTTCACTATATATGTAAAACTCCAGGAGCTCATCACTCTAGCTGTGATCTTGAACAAACCAACAATTGATTTACTAATAGGCAAAAGATATTACAGGTTCTAGATTACAAAACATTCCCCTAATTGGACTTTATATTGTAATTGTAAAATTGTCTGCAATACAGCTCTTCTGGCTTTATTGCTGTAAGCAAACACACTCATTGAAGTCTAGTGGTATCTGATCAAACACAATCAGTTCTTATCCAGGCAAGAGAGTCAGTCATCGATAAACTTTCCAGGATATGTTTCACAGCCATACCAAGTATTTATCTGCCACTGGCTTTGGGTTGAAGTTGCATCAGTGTAGGACTTGCAAAGGCTGTTGAAGAGTGACCTAGAATGGATTCATGCTTATGTGCTGGTGACATTTGGGATATAATGGTCACTGCCTGTGGGGCACTGGCAAATACTGACAAAACCGCTGTGGGGCTCAGGGATGGAGCTGGCAGTTAATGCTGCGCCCAGAGTGGTTGGTTGTAGGTCTGCGATGAGCAGTTCTGTAAAGTGGATATTTAACCTGCTTCTGGTAAACTATTTTGTAGAGGCAAACAGGCTTTTGGGAGAATAGCAAACACATAGATACTCTTACATGTGCATTGTAAGAGCCTACCTCTAGGAGTAGGGCTTTTTATTATAAAATTTAGCAGTGTTACAGCAATAGTGGTTTTTTTATATCTATGAGTTTTAAAGGCCATCCCAGTGGAAAGCTCTGAGGTGTACAGAAGAAGGCACTTGGCTATTTCGTTGGATCTTGATATTGCTAAACAGCTGTAGAAACTAGAAGTCTTGTTGTGACTGGCATATCCAGCACTTGGCTTATTAGAGAAATATTTGGGGCTTTTTAATGCTATACTCAGTGTTTTTAGGCTCAATAAACACCTAAGTACAGATTCAAGGTCAGATTAGAGTCCCACTTTTGTTAGCAGTAAGCCAAAGGTTGTGGTTGTTCATACAGACTACACAAAGATTTGAGAGCATGGATGTATTGACAGGTCTACTGTAGGCAGAGCTGCAGATGAGAATAACCCTTCTGCTTGCAAAATCTGCCCGTCTGCTGAAGTCATACTGTTTCTAGCAAACTAACTTGTTGATGACAGCAGCCTTACTTTCCATGTTGAAACACTTTTTTTGATGGAAAAAAATACGTCTCTCAAAATAGTGTTTCCACTTTACTGAGCTCAACCCAGCACTGAAATGTTAGATAAGGGCTTAAGTACCATTGCTGGGGTCTTTGATGTTTGACATCAGACCTGGATCTCTATTTCATGTACCAAGTGATGCAATTTTAGCCCACTTAGTCTCACTTCTGTGGTGCTCCAGAATCTTAAAACCCAATTTTGGGAAGAACTGGCTATAGCTGATGTGATTCTGTATCATCATGCAGGTGTGGTTGAAGAACCACATGGATGAGGAAATCCTGGTAGGGAAGAAGAGCATGGCAGGGCAACAGCAATAATGAATTGGTGCACTACTCAGTGGAGGCAGTGAATCCTCTAGTTCATTGAGCAGGGTCTTATTTCATGGGGTGGAAAGCACTTACAACCTCCCAAATGGCATTGCAACTTTTGTTTAGTGTCCTTTTGCTTTAACCTTGGAGCTCTGTTTACCCAAATCTTCTCTGCTGAAACTAAATCAGCAATATCATGAAAAAGGAGTATCTTAACTGAGAAAGCAATAGCACTGATCTCCAGTGAGCCAGAGATGAACTGTTGTGTTTCTGCAGGAAGGTGTTCTCCTTATGTCTGGATATTTCTGTGCCTTATTGTACTTGCTAAAGGTAACTCGGAAACTAGTATCTGGAAGGTTTGCGGTGACTATACAGTGCTGGGTTTTAACTTGGAGGCTATTTTGCAAAGGGATAACAGTTCAGACCATGCCAGATTTTTAAGTTTTTATTTGTTCTTTCAATTTCTCTCACGATCACCAGTTCTCTCTTCCTAAATATACAGAAAGGAAATGCACAGGATCTTTATTCTAATTTAACAAATCACATTGACCTACTTTGTTATATCAATTCTCTACAGGCAGAGTCCAGAACACACTTGTAGCCACAGGGTCTAGCCTCTTACTACAGAACACAGCTAATATTTACATTTTTTGTTTTGTTTTGCCTGTGTCTGTACAACGGACTTTGTTGTCCCTGGTTGTTCTTCAGCTTTATTCTGCTGTTTTCTTGTTGGCCATACTGGCAATGGACTTCTCGGTTCCCCACCTGCAAGTTCAGTACCACTGGGTTTTTCAGGCAACATCTGCCATGGCAAAATTACAACCTAGAATATTTTGCTGTATTTCAACTGCAGAAGCTGTAGTAGAGGAGACTCTGCTCAAGATACCTGTTCCCAAACCTGGACCAATGCAATTAGCTGCATCTGCAGCTGGAAGGGAGATAAGGGGTTTTCAACAGTACAGATGCAGCCTTAGTATTGCCACCTCTACATCTTCAGCCTCTAGATTGCAGTGTGAGAATGGACTACAGGAGTGCCGGTAACCGTGGTACAGCTTGGTGTGACTGCTGCATGTACAGAATATTAACAAATGATGGCAAGCCTTCTGCAATAACTCGTAATTCCATCGATCAGTAGTAAGCGATGTACAAATAAAACTTGATGAAATGTATTTTATGTGAAAAAAATAATGTAAGAACTGTATATTGTATTAGCAGCTTTGTGTATAAAATGGCATTTTGGCAATCAGAGTCTAATATATTTAAAACTTTTTTTAAAAAAGGATATTTGATATTGTACGGAATTGACTTTATTGCTACTGTAAGTATGAAGATGGTTTCTTAACATGTTGAAGCACTGCATAAAATCTTAAACTGTATGTAAAACTCATGCCAAAAGGGTGTGTCTGACAGTATTAGCACCTGACTCAGTGTCTTTAATAGATTGAATTTTTTAATTTAAAAATTATATTAAATTTCTTTTAATAATACAAAAACGCCACTGACTTTTATTTAATTAGTTTACATTTTGCAATTCTGCCTAAATGTCCCTGCCTCTTCCTCAACTGTAAGTGCAGCCAGGAATTGTCTGGAAGAGTCAATCGAGGCAGTGGGTAGGTGTAACTTTGTTTTTCAGCCGGTAGCAGTAATTTGTGACAGGGACAAGCAGGAAAGCCGAAGCTGTAACTGCCTTTTCTGGGTTTTTGTCATGTCTGAGCCATGAGGCCCAGCGTTCATTACCGCGCTTCATTAAGAGGGTCTTTCTCAGGAGGGCCGATTTGGGCGAAGGCGAGAGGGCCCTGGAGCTCCCGGCCCGCCTGGCGGGGCAGCGGGGCGCGGCGGGCGCCGCAGCGAGGGCCGCGGCCGGGGGACAGGCCGGGGACAGGCCTTGGAGCCGCACGGAAGGGGCTCGGCGCGAAATGGCGGATGCCGCCAGCGCGACCACCGCGGCCCGAGCAGGGAAGTGCCGGGCCCCGCTGCCTCCGAGCCCGGGAACCACCGGGCAGCGCGGTCCCGGTCCCGCCCCGGGGCCGGGGCCGGGCCGCCTTCCCGCAGCCAACCGGGGCGCGGGGCGGGGCGCGGCGGCCCCACTGGCGGCCCCGGCGCGGAGCTGTTTGTGTTCAAAGCCGCTATAAAGGCGGCGCGGAGGTGCCGGGGCTCCAAGCCGCTGTAAGGGCGGCGCGGCGGCCGGGCCGGGCGCGCCATGGCCAACCCGTCGCAGTGCCTGGAGGAGGGCGCCGGGCGCTGGCCGCCGCGGCCGCCCGGGCCGTACAGCGAGGCGCAGCGGCTGGCGCTGGAGGAGCTGGTGGCGGGCGGCCCCGAGGCGCTGCGGGCCTTCCTGCGGCGGGAGCAGCTGCCGCCGTTCCTCTCGGAGCCCGAGGTGCAGGCCATCGCGCGGGGCGCCCTGCCGCCCGCCGCCGCCCCGGAGCCGCCGGCCGAGGCCTCGCTCGGCGCCTCCCTCGACGCCTCCTCGCTCACCTACTTCCCCGAGCGCTCGGACCTGGAGCCGCCGGCGCTGGAGCTGGGCTGGCCGGGCTTCGCCAGCGGCGCCTTCCGCGGGCTGACGCGGGTGGAGGCGCATTTCCAGCCCGGCTGCGGGGAGAGCATCTACGGCTGCAAGGAGGCGGTGCGGCGGCAGATCCGCTCCGCCCGGCAGGTCAGGGACCGCGCGCCGCGGGGCGGGGGGACCCCGGGGGGTGCGGGCTGTGCCGGCGGTGCCCCCCCCCCCCTCCAAAGCAGCGTCCTGCCCGGGCCCCTTCTCCAGCGGGTCTGCGAACTGGGACGGTATCGATGAGCATCTCTTTGGTGTGACGCTCAGCGCGGCCGAGCGGCTTCAAAACCCTCGCCGAGCAGAGGAGCCTCCTTAGGAGGACGCGCCCGGAGCCGCACTACGAGCGGCACTCGTCCTGGCAGCCAGCGGCCCGAGCCTGGGACCTCGCTTCCCCGGTCACGGTGCTCCGGCGGTGCTGGCCGAGAGTTCCCCGGGCCCCAGCACTGCGTGCGGACCCGCTGCTGCTGTCCCGGGCCCGACCACCCGCTGGCTTCCAGCCGATCTGGCTCCTACTCAAAGCGGAAGGTTTCCTATTGTAGGTTCATTTATTGATGCGCTCTGCAAGCCAGAACCGCTCGCAGAAACCTCCTGCTGACCCTCATTGGATATGGCACAAAAAAAGGTCTCATAGAAGAAGGTTACCTACTGAGATAACTCCATGATAACTCCCTTCTTCACCTCATTAATTGCCCTTAAGTAGTGTGCAGACCTGCTCTTAGCAGGACTTCCCTCCTACAGGAGTGGATGGTTTTGATCTGATGGAGAGTGTGGCTTAAAAATCATGTGGCATAGTAATTTCTAACTGTTCTCTGCAACTCATTATGTTTTTACAGCCTCTAACTGTAATCCCCAGGAGGGAACCGCCCTTCTTGTTAGCAGCCATTCAATTGGCTTAGCTGAAATTTAAATGTATGGTTTCCTCTTCAGGTGGCCAGGTGAAGCAACCCCTGGCTCTGGGTGTAACGTGCTCGCACATGGCACACCCTGAGTCAGCAACTGAGCTTAGTCCCTGCCTGCTTCAGAGTGCAGGAGCTTGGGGTGTGTGTAAGGATGATGTGAACGATGGGCTTCTGGCCAGAAACGGTCACAGAGGAAGCTTTGTTCTCAAAGGATCCTTTTCAGATAGATGAGACCAGTACGGTGACTTGAGTAAATGCTATGAAAATATGTTTCTTCAAAAACCTGTACTTGTTGGTAATGTTTTTGCTTGTAGCACCTTGCCAAAATGCATTCCCTTGCACTGAGCCATGAGCCAGGCAAGCTGTTCCTGCCACTGCCGCGTACACGTCTGATCCAGGGAGTGTTTTTGTGGACACAGAATGGAGACAAATTTTGACCCTGTCTAATTTACTAAATATCAGCTGTTGTGTGACATTGCTCAGTCATGTCTGAGTTCTTCAGGCTAATGTGAGGAACGGGAAAAGTTCAGATGCTGTGTGGTTTCTTCTCAGCTCACTCAAATGCAGTTAGCTGAAGTGACTAAAGGGGACGCTTGCTATCGTGCCTCTCCTATCCCCAGTGGGTGAGTGTAGAAAAAAGGGTTTTCTCTCTCTCCTCTAAACATAACTATACTTTTGCTCAGTTTGAGTAGAAGTGTATTTCTTTTTCAGCTGCTAATTCTGGAATTAGAACTCACGTGTGTTGTTGAGTAGTCATTTGAAAGCACCAGTGTTTCCAAGGGGTTTAGTGTGAATAATTCTGGTTTCGGGGGTTATTGACTTATCTGGTCTTGTCAGAAGCATCTTCTTTGATGGGTGAAAAAAAGCACAGGAGACGTAAGAAGCATAAGCATAATCTAACTTTATCTAGAAATAGCAATGTGCCTGTGTGTGTTATACCTAAGAATTCATCCGTATGGGGCCTTAGGGAGCAGGGCACAGGTGGGAATGCAAAGCTTGGCCTGTTCCTGTGGGAAATGTTTCCTCCGAGTACAGGCAATGCCACACACAGCAGCTGTGTTGCATGCACCTACACCTTGGGTGTGTTGCAGCAGTGTGTGGATCCCTTCTCTCTCCAGTAAGGGCAGGTGCCAGGTACCTGCGGCGGCTGTAATGGTTGTCCTTGATGCTGGTCCAATAGAAAGAGACTAGAAAAGCAAGTCATGAAGCCACATCCTCTATGCCTTTGTGTCCCCACACTTGATGTGTGTTCCTGGTTTTGAAGGGTGAGAGTTCTAGCACCGAATTAGTGTGCAGTGCAGCTCTTGAATTAGCGGGATAGATCGTTCATAAATGTAAGACTGTCATCTTGTCTTTGGCCCATTGAGAGAAAATGTTCCCATTTTAGGACTTGCCTTCTGTAAAGAACTGGTGAGTTGAGTGAGTGGAAGGATTTCTTGTGAAGATAAGGGTTGGAAACTCAGATTACATCTAGTAAGAGTCTGGAACTAGTGTATTTGGTTTATATGTTGTCACAGAGCCAGTTTATCTCGTGGTAGCTTATATAGGGACAGCGTTCCCTTCCTTCAACGCAAAGAGGAATCAGTTGGGGTTTGTGAGATGTTCAGCTGTGACAGTGAGGAGGCCATTTGAGCTACTTCTCCTGTAAGCAGTGACTATCTGCACCAGATATGCCAAGCTGGGAGGAGTGGAGATGGCTTGTCTGGGTTCCCAATTCTGCTGCGATGGCTTCCCCAGTGTTACCTAAAGGCCAGATTACAGGAGATTGTAGGCTGTGAAAAGTGTATAAAAGCAGCAGCAGACATAAGGAAAAACCTCTTCAGTCTTACACTTTGCACTCTAGGGCACGATGATTTTACAGAAACGTTGTGGGAAAATAGAAATCTTTATAACTTGGCAGGGTCTGCGCAGCAGGACGAAGAAATGTGCATCTGGCCTTGATGATAGTAGCAGGACAAAATGGCTGGGGGAGGCAGTGATCTGGCCTTGTGTAAAATGAAGCCGCTGAACAAGTTTTGTCACTTTTCTTGCAGGTGATTGCCCTTGTGATGGATTCCTTCACAGATATTGACATCTTCGGTGACCTTCAGGATGCCTACAACAACCGCAAAGTCCCTGTCTATATCCTTCTTGACCAGGACTTTCTGCCCCATTTCTTGGAAATGTGCAAGAATTTGGGAGTTTGTCCTGAGCAGGAAAGTGTAAGTATGAAATATGGGTGGGTGTGGTTTGTTTTTATTTTTTTTGTGGTACAGTTTATGGTTATGGATATCAAAGATACCCTTCTATAAAACATCAGACTCCCCTGAAAGACTAAAGCATCCTGTAGTTTGATAACTGATATAAAAGGGCATTTGCTGAAATGTGTGCTCAGCTTCTGAAGATCAAGGCTGAATATCACATGGTTTCAGTTCAGTCTCTAATCCAGCATGTGAAACTGCTCACAAACTCAGCAAAAACCATGCAGAAAAGGCACATCTACTACCCTGTGTTACCTGTACATAGGAGCTGCAGCCTGCTGTGCTGGGTGGAGTGTGCACTGTGATTCCTGTCCTGAGGAAGCAACAATTCTTAAGCATTTTTTGCAGGTTGGGTTGTTTTTTTTTTTGTTTTTTTTTTTGTTTGTTTGTTTGTTTTTCAATTTTGCAAGATCTAAGTAGCTTTATTCTTTGGCTCAAGTAACTGATTGCTAAGGAAAACAGAAACACTGAAACCTCAAGGATGGTATAAGCTCTGGTAACATCTAATTTCTTTTCTAATACATAGTTGATTTCTTTTAAAAGGATTTAGATGATGTGACCCAGGTGATGCACTTAATTCCTCTGAAATAAGCTAACACAACTGTGTTATGGCTTGGCTTGGACAGGCTTATGTTTACCCCAGTGAAAGTTTCTCTGGATGGGGAAACACTCCCAGCTTTATGGGCAGTAATTAATTAGAACTGGCTGTTCTCTCCACAGACTCTCCTAATTTAACAGAAATTTATCACTGTGTAACTAATAACACTCAAATGCAGGCAATGTAAGGGAGTTCATTTCATTCCTATCTTCCGTAGTGTACATAGCTGCTTTTAGATAGAATTGCCAATCAAAACTTTTTGGAAGTGAATGCAAATCTAATGTTATTTTTTCCCTTCTTTTCTGAAACAGCTGATGAGAGTTCGGACTCTCACAGGGAACACATACTACATGAGGTCAGGTGCCAAAATTGTTGGGAAAGTCCATGAGAAGTTCATGTTAATTGATGGCATTAGAGTGACAACAGGCTCCTACAGGCAAGTATTGGGGTCTGCTGGTGCCTGATGAAGCTATATAAAGGGGGAGTTTCTGCAAGGATGTATTAACTTTGCTGTTTGCCTGGTGTTAATAAATGCCAATGGCAAGTCAACTAGCTGTGTCTAAGTGGGACTAACACAAAACTGGAAACAGCTTTGGAAAACTGGTTTACACATCTTGTTGCTAGCAAAGTATTTGGCTGTGGCTAAATACAGTTCTTCCTGAAGAAGAGAGAGTGAATTGTATATTGACTTTATACCTTCCTTATGCACAGCACTTCTAAGCTGAGTCTTGCTATCTGTAACAGTATGTGTGGAAATACACTGGAGATTAACTGTGAATCTTGTTTTGTTTTCAATAGTTTCACGTGGTCTGACGGGAAGCTGAACAGCAGTAACTTGCTGCTACTGTCAGGTCAAGTGGTTGAACACTTTGACCTCCAGTTCAGGATTCTCTATGCCCAGTCGATGCCCATCAGCCCTAAATGGCCGTCCAGCTGCGGGAACAGTGGGATATTTGATCACCTGACGAACAGAACAGAGTCCCCTAAAGAATACACTGTGGAAGGCAACTTGAGAGCAGAATTTGCCAGATTGTCTAGTACTCCAAAGAAACTGTTGAAAGAACTGGATCTGGCTGAAGATACTCCTGGAGGCAAACCTTGTAACCTGGAGCATTCTTGCCTCTGCGAAGAGTGGCGGCTCAGTGATCAAGCGGCCCTAGTGGGACGGAAAAGTGCATCGACTCAAACTGGCCCGTGGGAAGAGAAGCCTGCAGTGACCGCATGTAACGCTGCCACGCAGACCAGAGCTGTAACGGCAGAAACCAGCACTCAGACTTCTGTCACTGCTAGAGTGACGGGCACTCAGACTTCAGTTTTGCTGAAGACTGCAGTGACACAGACAAAGGAAGAGGAGTACACAGGAACACCCCTGCTTCTCAGAAAGTTGTCAAGAGAAGGATCTTCTCTGTCTGGAAAGGCTGTATCAAGTTCTAGTTTGCGATCACTGTCTTCATCATCATCCCAGTGCTCTCTTGCAAGCTCTACTGGCTCACTCTCTTCTCTCCGGTCTTTTGAATATTCTAGCAGCCACAGGGCAGAATATTTCCAAAAATTGCATAAAGAGAGGCAATTCCACTACTCCACTATCAGGTCGAAGCTTAGCCACATGGTGGGTATCCTGTCCCGGAGGGGGCGTGCGCCTGAAAACTACATGCCCCACTACACTGGAAGATGCAACCTAAAACAGAGGCGTGACATCAGTGCCAGCCTGCGCAGCCTCCGGGACGTTTCACTCTTTTCTCTGAATAAATGATTGCTGCACTGAGTGCAGAACACAAGCTCCAGTCTCAAATTGTAGTCACTTTGTACCTGCTGATTCTTCCACTTCCTTCCAGCACTTCTTAATTTTTAATACATGTGTACATCAATCTCCAGCACTTTGTTTTATACTATGCAATTCAAGCAATAAAAAAAGGGGTTTATTTACACTGTAACTACTTGCATGTTCCTCTTGTGCATTAGTGGTGAAGGTTCATTTTAATTTTGTAGGTTTAACCTGAAAAGTAAGCTTGTTACTGATTTCAGGGGTTGCTAATTCTCTGTCTTTATGTAAACTTGTAAAAATCTGAGTCAGACTGATCTTGCTCAGCGTGGCTTTGGAGATTTAGCTTACATCAAGGTATATTCTTTTTTTTTTTTAAATATATATATTAGCTTTTATTTCTACTTTATCTTTGGCATGAGGGAAAACAACTTTTATAAAGAGCCATAAAGCTAATTTTATTCAAAGTCCGACTTCAGTGATATATACATTACCTTTCACTAAAGCTGTAAAGGGTCTATTGAAGCAGTTGCAGCTTATCTTCAACTGTATGCTTTTTCCACTGTTTAAGCCTTTTAAAATGGACTGAGCTAACTAGCTCTTCAGTTTGATCATCCTCTCGTGCCTTTGTGTAGATAGATATATATAGACATATATATAAATGTGTGTATTTATATACATCCTCAGAAAGAGCATCTTTTTAAAACCAAGACCAGAAAGTAGCAACTTAACATTCCAAGATAGCTGTACCCTTTTTAGGTACAGCCCTGATGTAAATGTTTCTAGTATTTGGAAGTGAAAGCTGAGTATGTTGGATCTGCAGGGCCATTCATGGGAATGTATTGCTGAAGTGTTGGCTTTTTGCACTTGTGAGTGGGCGCCGAGGTGATACGTGGGGTGGGGTTCAGTGTCATGCTGCAGCACACCTATTGTACTACTTTTGGGATGACTTCAAAGAACTTTGGCTCTTGTACAATGTGTTACACAGAATTAAGACTTTTAGTCTTAGCACTGTGAAATGAACTTCCAATTCTGGCTGGGTCTAGGAATGTCTGAATCATCTTGCTTCCCTTAAGAGATCTGTAAACAGGTTCCTCCTTTAAAGTGAACTTAGAGGCAAGACAGTCACTGAGGACACATGACAAACCCCTGTTTGAAAGTAAGCTGACAAATACAGGAGGAAATGTTATCTGTTATGTTTGCTAATATTACAGTACCAGTATAAGAGTGGAAAAAAACCCACATTTTTCTCTTTAGACTGTCCTATCTGAAATAGTCTGGTTCCTGCTCTATTTATCCTTTATCCACTACTAACTTGGTTTGAGAAGCTGAAGTGCCACTCTAGTTTTTGAAAATACTGTACTTTCAATATTAAATGGATCTTCATTAAGTTGCTTTGCAGACATTATCTGAGTATTTGTTAGAAGTGTTCTGTGCATGTGTCTGTGCTTGCTGGATCACTTATCTGAGCTGTGTGTGGGTTCTTTCTGAGCTCTGACCTGTACTACTGTTCTCTAGACCTGCATCCCAGTACTTTAGTGACGACCTAGACTCAATGCTGCAAAGTCAAATCAGTCTGGGCTATGGATTTTATTTTTGGGTATGTGTGTCCAGTAGATGGCACATTTCAGCTGTTGTCTTGAATATTCCCGTAAACAGCAATGAGGGAGTGAATGAACAGAAAAATAACCCAAAACTCAGAAAAGCTGTAACTTCAGTGTAGAGAGAAACTTATTCAATTAACTTTGGTATTTCTATCTCTGAAATCTATATGGACAAAGAGGCTTAGCTACTTTTATGGCTTGGATCTCAAAGCAGCTGCTCCTTCCCTAAAGCTGTAAGGCCGATATACAAAGAGGTGCAGGTGTGTGTGTGTGGGAAATAAATCTGTCTGCACTTGTTTAAACAGGTAAGATACTTTTTTGCCCGGTCCTGGGAGCAGGAACACTGGGAGTGAGGCAAGCTGTAGAGAGGGAGCCGGGATACACCTTCAAAGCCAAGCTCGAGTTGTGTTTTTAAGAGCTCCTGTTCAGCAGTGCTTGAATGTATGCGAAGTCAACTTGTGTGTTTCCTGACTTTATGGTACTCTGGCAGGAACAAGAAACAGTTTACAAATAAACTCCTTCTGCCAGCGGGGTTTTCGCCCCGTCGTTGCTGAGCTTTGTTTTCCATTTGTTTGGCCTTTGGAGTCCGGGTGACTAACGCAGCAGCTCTCGGGCGTTGGGGCTTTCCTGCTCCGGGCCGGCCGAGCCGCAGCGCCCGCCCGGGAGGGCCCTTTGCCCTCCAACCCGGGGAGCGGCCGTTTGATCGGGGCTGGGGAGCCGGGCGCGGGCTGTACTTGCTCTCCCTGCTTAATTCAACGCTTGCTTTGTCTGCGGGCGCTTCCCTGGGCGGGGGCAGGCAGCCGGCGCTGCCACCCGTGACTTTCCCGTGGGCGCCGCTCTCCTCCCCGCTGCCGGCGGCGGGCAGGGGCCGGGCGGAGCGGAGGCTCCGGCCCCTCCGGCGGGGCGGCCTACCTGGGCCGCTCCCGCCTGCTGCCCCGGCGCCGGCCGGGAGGCGGGGAGGGGCCGGCCCGCGGAGCCGCTATAAAGGCGGCGCGGAGGTGCCGGGGCTCCAAGCCGCTGTAAGGGCGGCGCGGCGGGCGGGCGGGCCGGGCGCGCCATGGCCAACCCGTCGCAGTGCCTGGAGGAGGGCGCCGGGCGCTGGCCGCCGCGGCCGCCCGGGCCGTACAGCGAGGCGCAGCGGCTGGCGCTGGAGGAGCTGGTGGCGGGCGGCCCCGAGGCGCTGCGGGCCTTCCTGCGGCGGGAGCAGCTGCCGCCGTTCCTCTCGGAGCCCGAGGTGCAGGCCATCGCGCGGGGCGCCCTGCCGCCCGCCGCCGCCCCGGAGCCGCCGGCCGAGGCCTCGCTCGGCGCCTCCCTCGACGCCTCCTCGCTCACCTACTTCCCCGAGCGCTCGGACCTGGAGCCGCCGGCGCTGGAGCTGGGCTGGCCGGGCTTCGCCAGCGGCGCCTTCCGCGGGCTGACGCGGGTGGAGGCGCATTTCCAGCCCGGCTGCGGGGAGAGCATCTACGGCTGCAAGGAGGCGGTGCGGCGGCAGATCCGCTCCGCCCGGCAGGTCAGGGACCGCGCGCCGCCACCCACCTCGCCCTTCCCCCGGCCTTGTCTTTTAACGAAACTCCCGGCTTTACTTACTACGCTGTTACTGCTTTTTGGTTTTCCCACCATCTTTTGCGTGTTAGGTTTTTTTTTTTAATAGGTTCGGTATTTGAAACCTTTCTGCCCCGTATTGATGAAAACCGAGCCTGCGCTATTGGGGCCTCGCTCAGCCCACTCGGGGAGTTTGCCCCTGTGGGCCGTACACCCGAAACACGCCCGGTCCCAGCTCTTCTTAGTTGCCATCACCTCCCTGTCGTGCGCTGGGGACACAGCAAAGCTTGGTTCCACCCGTGGGACAGACCTGCGAGGGCAGTAGCTGGCTCTCGAGGGAGGTTTCACTTGAGGAGTTTGGGCGGGTAGTGGGATCTTGGCTTGAAATAGCATGAGAACCTGAATAGTAAGTTGAAGGCAAACCTCACGTTTATCTTAAACAGGGAGGTGAGATATCAAGAGCAGTCGGACACCAGTGATTTTTTTGTTTTCTTCGATATTTCTTTTCATATTTTGAGAAGTTTGAAAGACTCTGGAAAACTTACATTTTGGAAATAAGCTCACCATCAGGTAATGGTTTTGAGGAAAGGATGTGTTCTCAGGAAAAAACCCTCTTGCCTAGGAATCGGGAGACCAAATTTGACTAACACTGAGCTAGACCCCTGATTTTGCCATTAGCTCAGGTTGAGGAAGAAACCTGAAGCAATACATTCATCTTGCCGCTGTTCTGGTTCATCTGAGATATCTCAGCAACCCCAAACGTCTCCATGATCAGCTTGGTGCTTCTGTTGCACCAGAAGTTACTAATGTAGTTGAAGAAGACTGATGGCAAAATGTCCTTCTTTTCTTCATTCAAAATCCGTCTTTTATCAGCTTGCCTAGGTTTTTGGAGAGGTGTCAGGTGTCCCGCTGCCTTCATAGGTCTTGGCACTGCTCTAGAGGCAAAAGGAGAAAATGCTCAGATTTCCATAATTTCTTCCTGAAGGTGAAGTTATGTAGTAAAATAGGGAAGGCTTTAGTACAACTTTAATTAAAAGCCATGAGCAACATGCTACTGAATAGATGCAGGAGCTATCATTGTTGCTAATTAGTGAACTCTAATTTTTAAATAGAGAGGTGTCTTTCCACAATGGGCTTTCAGGTTAGGCTATTCATACCTACTAAACCAAAAATACACAGATCCTGGCAAAAGAAGCTTCCATGTCTGCTGTTGGAATTATAGTACAAAATGAAATTCTACAGTCTGATGATGATAATAATCTTAAATTATGTTATCTGCTATAAATCAGTCAAGCAGCAACAAAATTGGGGCAAACAATCTTTAACAATAATTCCTGTCCATATGTTTTTTTTTCCCTACTTGACTATACAGAGACATGAATAAGAGATCATAGTGAAGGGGCAGTGTATATTGTGTCTCCTGTATCTCCGTGTGCTGTACTCGGTAATCACCTTTACCAAAATACCATTCTTTTCACAGAACTTTATTCTAATCAGTTAATTTTTCCTTTCTCTTTTATTTCTTATATGTCTGTTAAATGTTTCATCAGTCCTGGCACCAACAGAAGAATATACTGTCTCACAGAAGACTGTACCATGTTCCACAACCACCAGGGGAAAAAAAGCAGGGGGGAAATATTTCATTTGGAAGTCAAATTCCTCATGTGCCATCTCCCTTGGGATGCTGTGGAAACAGCCTAATGATTTCTTCTGAAACTTGTTGCAGATGATTGCCCTGGTTATGGATTCCTTCACAGATACCGATATCTTCAAAGACCTCTTGGAAGCTTGTAGCCAGCGGCAAGTTAAAGCATATATCCTTCTAGATCAGTCTTCATTTTCCCACTTTCTGAAAATGTGCAAGGATCTGGGAGTTGACCTTGAACAGGAAAAGGTGAGCCTTGTCATATTTATAGGCACAGAGAGTCAATCCTCTTACGACTGTAATCTTTGAGCTATCAAAAAAGGAAACTCTTATGCCTGCTGCCTCAACTTAAAATGGGGTTTATGTAGCTCTAGCTCCTTCTTGGAAGATTTAACCATTTATACATAAGAAGGCAATTAATAGAAAACTCCCAAATCTTTATAAGTGGATATAACAGCTGCTTTCTGAGCACAAATACTAACTGAATGTTCAGGGAAATTCAGGAGGAATGTCCAGTTCTTAAAGCATGACTGGAGTTGCTCAGGCTTACCAAGACTTTGAAAGCTGATGGAGAAGCAGGTTCTCAGGAATCTGTGGAATTTGAGTCCTTCCAGGGTTTGGTGACAGGAGCTTTTACAATCACATTCTGCACAATCAGTTTATGGGTTTTCCGCTTAATGCCACCTCTGCCTGCTAAAACAAGACAAAAATAGAGGCTGAATCTTGTGCCACTCTGCAGCAACCTTTGCTAGTTCATCAGTGATCGCTATTCTTGTGTGTTACTCCTTTAAATGCAGTCATTTAACTTTGAAATACACATGATGCTTGTCATATCTTTCACAGTTGATAAGAATTCGAAATATTACTGGGAAAACATACTACACAAGGTCTGGTGCCAAAATTGTTGGAAAAGTCCGTGAAAAATTCATGTTGATTGATGGCATTAGAGTGACAACAGGATCCTACAGGCAAGTGCTAATTTCTTTCTGTTGCTTAACATGATTTATTTACATGGAAAACAGCCATATTGCAAAACTGATTTCGTTATCAAAGTTTTTGTGTAACGTTTGTCCTAAAAATAGCACACTGCCCATCAGTTGGATCGTAAGAATGATTAAACTAAATGTGATGAAAGAGAATTTTCAGTTAATACTTTGTTTACTATTTATTTTGAATTAACTTAGAATTTTCTCATTCCTCCTCTGGTAGTTTTACATGGACAGATGGGAAGCTGAACAGCAGTAACATTTTGATCCTGTCAGGCCCTGCAGTTGCACACTTTGACCTGGAATTTCGGATTCTTTATGCACGGTCAAAGCCTATCAACCTCAAAGAGTTATCCAGCTGCAAGAAGAATAAGGTGTTGGACCAGCTGGTCCAGATAACAGTGGCTTCGAGAGACTTGACCAGGGAAAACTTCCTGAGAATGGAGTTTTTGTATCTTAGAGCATTTGTAGGAAATCTAAAAAGGAAGCGAAGCTGGCTGCATGCCTCAAGGGAGGCAGTCTACGTGTCAAATAATACAATGCATGCCTCTCCGCCACTGACTAAGAGGAATGGCTCTCTAGTTATGAGGCCACACTGGGTCGTAGAGAGATGAATTGCACGTTCACTCGGCGTGAGAAGCAGAACCTCAGGAACCACGTCCAGCCGTCCACGTCCAGTACTGTCTTACAGTGTGTTTGTGAGAGCAGCTGGCAAACCAACCTCGAACTGAGAGAAAGTGATTCTGGAATGGTGGTTTTGTTTGAAAACCACTATAATGCAGATCAACAGATACAATCATGGTATTGTCTTAGGCTTGGATGTGGTTTTTTTTTTTTATGTAAAAATACTCTAACAGCTAGAAAGCCATTATTGACTTCTAGTATTCTGTCAGATTTTAATTTTTCAACCTATTGTTACATGTTTTAAGCTGATGGGTTTGCAGTGCCTTAGCTCAGTAGCTCAAACCTTTTTTTTTAAGGAATCTAGGTATAGAAAATAATATTGCTTAGAAGTCTGCCAAAAATGAATAGCAGGACTGCTGTACGACTCTGAAATCAGTCTAGGTTTAGTTTTGTGTTGCACGAACTCTCCACGAACTGTTTTGTGACACAGAACTGAAGTAACCATAATCTAGAAACTAGTACCATGCTACTAGTCCTCAGTTGTCACATTTTCTTTGGGCAAAGCTGTGCTGCTAGGCAGAACAAGCTAACGTCAGGCGAACCAGGCTTTTGCAATGATTGAATTTCAAATTACCTTTTCTTTATAATACTTGGATTGTTGGACATCATGCAATAAATGCATGCAAGGGATAGTATTCCTAAGAACCTACTATGCTTGTAGTAGAGCCACATGAGACCCTTTTCTTGGCATTACTATGTATACTTTTTGGTTTCTTTATGGTTGCTACTGCTGTCTGATCTTATGGGAAAAGTGGAGCCTATCTGAAATCTGTGAAGCTGCTGCTACTTCCCAAAAGCCTTACTTTCACCAGATGTACAATAACATGGAAGTCATAAATAGAAGTATTTATTTTTAAGGTTTCATGCAAGCTAGACTTTTTTAAAAAATACAGCCATTTCTGGAGAAAAAAATCTGCAAATTAATAAACTGTCCTCCCAAATAGTTGTATATTGAGGCACTGAAGTTCCAGCAGCCTGCCAGTGTGGAAACTCTTGTTAGTCCAACTGTGGTAGCTGTGGCAAAAGCCAAGGTACACCTTTTTTCAAGTTGTTCTTGAGGCTCTTGCTACTGCAAAAACCTTGGGTACATGCTTGTGTGTTTTGTGGGTTTTGGGCTTCAAAGGGAAAGGTTAAAACTTAGCTGGGTCTATGGGTCTGTGCTAAACATCAGCAGGGCAACATTAAGTTGGACATGTGGAGCTTGCAAAAATGGTCTTTACAGACAACACAATAATGTACTGATGAGGATACAAATAATCTGCGCCCTTTTTCTTCTGCACTTACAATCATGGAAATGTAATAGCTTTGACTTTCCTAATCTGTAAAAGTTCAGTAGTTTATAGTTTAATGGTTTTAACTTTTATCCAGATGTAAAGAAGTTTGAAATATGAATTTTTATTCTTAACTATATTTTTCCATAAACACAAACCCCATGTTTTAGTCTCTTCAAAATATTGTTTATGCAATCTTATTTTCACAATAATATCTGTATATGTTTTCTCAAATATAAGTTTTTAACTTTGTTCTTCATCTCAATACTTTAATAGGCAACTCTTTCCATGTGTTGTTGTTAGTAGGCTTTTTCTGAATAGTTGCTAATATAATGATACAAAATACTGTGGTAAGAGTACTGTGTTTATCTGTGGTAGAGTGGACTTAAAGTGAAAAGTAAATTTAAGTAAAGGGCTAGAATTTTAAAATGTCTTTAATTATGTCTGAATAACTTCTTTTTCAAGTCTTTACCTAGAGACTTAGCATAACAGGTGACCGTGGAGGTACAGCGTTGTGCAGTCTCTGTGAATCACAACTGCACTGCTAGGGTGTCAAGTTATTAATGAAGAATTAGAATGATTAATAATAATATAAAATGTGATTAGATTCTTTTTCCATAAGCATGATTTTTTTTTACAGCATTACTAAACTTATCAGAAGTTGTTTTTTGGGTTTGGTTTTTTTTTGTTTTTTTTTTTTTTTTTACTCCAGTCTACACTTAATTAACTCAAAGTCTACATTAAGTTTGATTCACTAATAACTTTCATGGGCTGTAATGAGTCTGTGGTAGGGCACCACTGGATCTATTAACTATTCCTGATTATTGTTTTCTTCCAAGTCTTTCAGCTGCCCGAGTGCAACAGCTGTGGTGCACAGAGCGGGGAGGCGTCCTTCGTGTGGTGTAGGGGAGCAATTAGCTTTACTTAATGAGACAAGGGCGTTTTGGAGATGATCCCATTAAACTCTAGGATCTGCCCTGGGTTATACGTCTCACTTTAGCACCAGGAGGAGCATCTGGCAGGCTCGGCTCATCTACCCCCGGGCCTGCACCACCCGTGTGCCACCCTTTCCCTCTGGGCTCGTAGGGGAGGGCCGGGCTTCAGCCCCACCCGAGGGCAGTTTTATCCGCCCGGTTTCCTCAGCGCCATCGCTCCTGTGGGCTGTGACAGGGCTCCGGGCCGCGCCCCGCCCCGGGGCCGGCGGGCCCGCTCCGGGCACTGTGGCAACGGCGCCGTGTCACGTGGGCCCCGCCACTTCCGCTTGCCCTCTCACCCCAAGATGGCGGCGCCCGTGGGACCGGTGAAGTTTTGGAAGCCGGGTGAGGGGATGGCGGGGTGTGTGAGTGAGAGAGAATGTGCTTTCCCGCGCTGTCTGTGGCGAGGGCCCAGGCAGCCGCCGGCTGTTGGGGGACGCACGGATTTTAGAGGCCGAGGGCAGCGGAGAACCGCGCTGTCCCTGCGCCGCCGGGGCCTGGCGGGCGGCGAGGTATCTGCTGCTCCAGCCGGGCGCTGCCCGGTACCGGGGCTGGCAGGGGAGGGGACGGAGTCCGCCTTCATCCCGCTGGGGTGGGCGCGGGTGGTTCGCCGACTGGGTGAGCTGCCCTTTGGGGGGGCGTGCGACTGGCTGGAGAAACGCGCAAGGGGAGCCCTAAGAAGTTTAACAAAGGGAGGTGCGAAGTTCTGCCCCTGAGGGGGGGTAACCCCGGGTGCTACACGACGGGGAGAGCAGAGCTGAGGGGGCCTCGGGGTCCTGTGGGCTGCAAGCTGAGCATGAGCTGTTGATGAGTCTTGGGCAGCAAAGAGCATCACCTGCACACTGAGCTGTATGAGGGAGTATTGTTAGGTTGAGGGAGGTGATCCTTCTCCTCAGCACTGGGAAGGCCTTATCGGGGTGCTCTGAGGGCTCCCCAGCAGCAGGAAGACACAGGCTTACTGAAACAGGTCCACAGAGTGATGGGCCACAAAGTCAGTCGAGAGATGGGAGCATACAACATGCAAGGGGAGGTTGAGAGGGCTGGGACTGTGCAGCCTGGAGAAGAGGAGTCTCAGGAGGATCTTTTCGCTGTATATAAATACCTGACAGGGTATTTATAGGTAAAGAAGATGGAGCGATACTTTTCTTGGTAGTGTCTGTTGACAGTACCAGAGGCAATGGGCACAGGCACATATGAGAAAGTCAGCTTAAACGGGAGAAAAAGCTTTTCTATGGTGGGTGTGACCAGGTTCTGGAACAAGCAGACAGGCAGGTTGTGGGCTCTCCAACCCAAGTGAACGAGGACCTGAGCAGCCTGCTGCAAGTGGCCCTGTGGCAAGCAGGGTGTTGGTCCAGAAGGTCTCCAAAGGGGCCTCCCAGCTCTGCTGTGCTGTGGCTCTGTGATTGTTCCCTCGGGGTTTGGGCAGTTATATGCCTTCCCATTTACTTATCCCAAAGGGGAGCTTGGTGGGTCTGAGTTTGATAAATTTTTAAAAAAGCGGTCACTGAGTTGTGGTATGCTGTGGTTTGCAAAACTATTCCATAGTGAAGATTAATTTAGCAAACAGCTTTTTAATCATATATATAGACAGTTGTGTATTAAAAAAACATAGAAAATGCTGTGGAATAAAATCTGTGGGTGATAAGAAGCAATATCTGTTAACTTTGATTTGTCAAGATCCAGATACTCAAGTCCCTGGTTCTTAACTTCCCCATCTGTCCTGGGGATGAATAGTTATTGGAATCATTGCTAATAACTCCTAAAATTGGTTCAATTTGCCATAAAACTTGCTTGGCAGCTTTGAATAGGGACTGTTTTGAAACAGTGGAAGAAGTGGGTAAAGCCCAAACAAGAAAATCCTACAAAACAGGGGAATCCTTCTCACTGCTCTCAGACTTTCCCAGTTGAATCTGCAGCTGGAGATGATACATTCCGTTACGGAGATGAGTTTTTGTTTCTAGTTCATTTGCATGATTCAGCATTTTCAGTTGTCAGTAGTTTTATGGTAACCTGCATGAGGAATAAATCAAGTTTCAGTTACCGAGGTAAATTCAGATCTGAAGAGAGTGGCGTAGCTCAATGAGTGGGTGAGGTTGAATGTTTATACAGTTGATGTTAGTCAAGGGAAGTTCTGTGGCATGTATGACTGGCTGGCTTAAAAACCATGGCTGTGCTTCTGAGAGGGATATTGAAGATACATCTGGATGGTTGCACAGAAAAAGAAGAAAGTTCCTTGTATATTTTTCATGTGTGCTCTTTTCCCTCCTTTATATTCTTTTAAAAATTCAAATACTTACTCACATTAGGTTTTTTTTTTTTTTTTTAACCACGAGGGGAGACATATTTAATTTGAAAGAATTTCTGCATGTTTACTGTTAGCTAATATTTTGATTATTTTCACAGAAAAGTAGGTCTTTTGATATATGCTGCTACCCATGATTCATCCTTCTAAGGAACATATTTATTTTGGTTGTATTGTGATATGCTAGGCAGAAGTGTGTTCTTCTAGTTAAAATTCACTTATGTCATCTAGGCACGGAAGGTCCTGGTGTCAGTGTCTCAGAGGAGAGACAGAGTCCTGCTGAGAGTAGTGGCATAACCATCATCTATAATCCTTATGCTTCCCTTTCTATTGAACAACAAAGACAAAAGCTACCTGTTTTTAAGGTACCGAAGTTCTTTTTGGTTTATTACATCTGTTGTATGATGTCTGGCTCTTATGTCTTTTCTTGAAAGAGCAGTATAGAATCCCTTTACAACATAAAATAGTAATTTTATGAACTTGCTCTCTTTATTTGTTGGAATGGATTGTCCTGCTTGACAAATGTTACTGACAGTTTCACAGGCTTTGTAGATTCATGTTATTTACTATATATTGCACATGCCATTTATAGATTTCAAAGAACTGTTTAGCTTTTGGCAGTAAACTCCATATAAAATGAATTTACTGTGTCTGCTAGATATGTAAATATGGTCATTTAAATTATTTTCTTATTTCTGTACACATCTGGTTTTGATACTTAAATGTCATCTTCTCTTTCAGCTAAGAAATCACATACTTTATCTAGTGGAGAACTATCAAACTCTGGTGATTGTTGGGGAAACAGGTTGTGGGAAATCAACGCAGATTCCACAAGTAAGTGTCTGTAATTTGGTAAAATCAAGTATTCCCTCAGGGAATGCTACATGAAGCATTAAACCAGCAACCCAGAACTGCGCTGTGAGAATGGAATTCACCTGTGCTTGTGTGTGTGGCCAAAAGGAGAGAAATATAAGGAGAAAATAGCAGGAGCTGGTATATCTGTAACATAAAACCTTCCACTACAGAAAAGGACCGTACACAACAAATAAGTTTATGCCAGTACAAATAGTAGTGCCATAGTAGGTGTTTATTACTCTATCAGAATAATATTTGAAATTTTGTTGCGCATATGTTTTTAGGAAGAAAAATAGATAGACTTATGAGCTTTCCTCTTGGAAATTTTTGAAATATTGTATTTTTTGTGGTTTTGTAAAATTTTCTCTTTTGTGACAGGAATTTAAAAAGTCTGACAATGTTTCAAAGTTAGTTCTTGATTTGAACTTAAAAAATTGCAAACTAATGGTGAATGTCATCTGCTTCATTGTGAGGATTTGTGCTACTTAGCTTTTTTTCTTAAAGGGGTTACAAAATAGAGAAGAGAAAAAGATAAAGTAGTTCAAAAATACTTGAAACCTAAAGAACTGCTCTTAGATGTTTTCTGAAAGCACATGTGCTTAGCAAGTAGGTATGGTACTATATTACTTTTAATGGTGAGATTAATAATGCACGAAATCCCTAAATAACCAATTTCCCTAAAGTCATGCATCAGTGTCAGAACCAGGAAACAGAACATAGTGTGGAGAAGTAACACCTTGCTGTAATCACAGTGTGGCCAATTCTTATCTTATCCTCGATATTTGTTTGCAGTACCTAGCAGAAGCTGGCTGGACAGCTGAAGGAAGAGTTGTTGGCGTGACGCAGCCTCGTCGGGTTGCTGCTGTTTCAGTGAGTTTCTCCACTGTGTCCAAATTTTCCCAGTTTGTTGTCATTATAACCTCCAGTTTATTAGCAGGTTTTGCTGAATAGCAGGAATCACAGCTGGATGAGCTCCTGAATGCATAGATGTTTCTGCTTATCTTCCTCACAGAAGTGCTAGAACTATATGCTGAATTCAACCTGACTAGTAGGTCTTGCCAAAGATTCCAAGTCCAGAATTGCAGATGTAGAAGCTTTGAAATAAAATTAAATGGTATCAGCAGAACTGTGTACAGAAGTTAGGGCTACACAGGATTGAGCTATGATTGACTCTGGACTAGAACTGTGCTTCTGTGACCCTTAAATTCTTTCACAAAGTAGAGTAGTGATGTAAATTTGTGTACATTAACATAGCCCGTGGAAGAAAGAGCAGGTTGTGTACCTCTTTCTAGGAGTTCATACCTAGT